CGCAGGCGAGAGCGTCAAATCGAGGCGGTTTGAAGGGATGAGTTCAAGTTGTCCATAGACCGCTTGAGATAGACGATCACTGCCATTTTCACTCTTTTTCACTAGACACGACGACTCAACGTTTGTACCGCGCAACCTTTTCAAACTCCGTTGCATGGGCTTGAAAAAAGACTTCCCTGCCCGTATAGTAGTAGCTAGAGAATAACAAGAAGCCTTGAACACCTTGAAATCAAACTCCTACCTTGATGTGTGGGTCAGGATATCTGATGGTGCGTCCGTCATTGGTAGTGATGTATGGGATATTCTTCTTGGCAACGTGCAGAGCCTTAACCTTGCAAGAGCTTGAATTGACCCTCTGCAGCTGTGATTCTGTGCACCGTATAACGGCCCTTGACATCATATAGAAGGCGGAAAGTCTCGTTGGTTCGCTCAATGCTGATCACATCTGCAAAATACCAGCGTCAGGTACTTCTGGTATCACCAATCACCACATAAATGGAATTTCGAAAAAACTTACCCATAAATCCAGCAGGGAATTTGTGGTCGGTGCGGATCTTTCCATCAACCTTTATAATTCGCTGACGCATGATTTTCTTCACCTCAGAATAGTTCAAGGCATACTTCAGACGATTGCGAAGGAAGAGGTTCAGAGGTAAGCATTCTCGCAGCTTGTGAGGTCCACTTCTTGGTCGAACAGCAAAAACTCCTCCGAGTTTGTCTAGCATCCAATGCTTTGGCGCTGCTAGACGCTTAAGATGCTTCTTCGGTCCACGAGCCATTTTTGCTCAGCAGGGTAACCGCAAGCTAAAACGGATGAATAAGTCAATGAAAAAATGTACGAGCGACGACATACACGAGACCTAATTAGGAGCACCACAGCACAGCTAAAGTAGAAACGAAGAATGTGAACCAAAGATTTCTGGTATACAAACGGAACCGACTCAAAATCCCTTAACTAAAATGAGCTCGATTCTGACACCATGGCAACTAACGGATCCACCAATCATTAAGTCTCCAAACAATAAGAGAACCACGGTTAAAGAAAGCTATGAAATATGCAATGCAGACAAGTTTTGGGAACCAACTTTAAAAAGATTG